CAAAACTATTTCCTTAAAGAAAATGTTTCTATTCTTCCTATATCAAAAGGAGTAGAACCATTTTAATGGCATCAAATTCTGTCTCATCTCTGAAGAGATGTCAGGCTCTATTTTATTTTATTTTATTTATATTTTGAGACGAAGTTTCACTCTGATTGCTCAGGGTGGGGTGCAATGGCGTGATCTCGGCTCACTGCAACCTCTGCCTCCCAGGTTCTAGAGATTCTCCTGCTTCAGCCTCCCGAGTAACTGGGATTACAGACATGCACCACCACACCCAGCTAATTTTTGTACTTTTTTGGTAGAGATGGGGTTTCTCCATTTTGGTCAGCCTGGTCTTGAACTCCCGACCTCAGGTGATCTGCCTGCCATGGCCTCCCAAAGTGCTGGGATTGCAGGCATGAGCCACCGTGCCCTGCCTCTCTTTCATTTTAATAAGTTGAGGCAGTTCTTCAAAATGCAGAGGAAGTGGGGGAGGACTTTTGAGCATGGTGATTCGCGATTCAGAGAATGGGATGGAAAGCAGAGTGTTAGCCTTTTCTGGGGATTTTCTCTTAAGACTTGTGTACTCAAGAAAGCAGTATCCCAGATTTGGTGGTGTTGATAATAGTAGCTACTGTTTCTTGAGTATTTACCAATTCATTTACATCCTCACAGCAGTCATAAGGCAGGCATTGTCCCATTTTTTAAATTAGAAAACTGAAGTTTGTAAGAGTTTAATTTGTACAAGATCACACTGTCAGAAAGTACAACAGGTGAGAATTGCTTCCAGATTTGGCTGACATCTCTGTTTCAATATTGTCAAGGTAAAAGATTTGACTCTGCTGAAAGAAAGAATCTAGGAATCATAATGGACACAAACCACAATTAAGTTTTGGGGTACTGCTGGAGTACTGTTGGTTTACTTCTTTTGTAAAGTCAGCCTGACACTTGACACTGTGAGAAAGCATAAATCTTACAAATTGGGCTGTCTGTTTGCCTTGCATTCATCATTTATTATTTGGTAGGGCATCCTGGGAAATTGAACATTATATCTCCTAAAACATGTTTTAAAAAGGCTCTGCGGGACAACAATATTACTTAATATTTAAAAACACTGACTGAGCATGGTGGCTCACACCTGTAATCCCAGCACTTTGGGAGGCTGAGGCGGGTGGATCACAAGGTTAGGAGTTGAAGATCAGCCTGGCCAAGATGGTGAAACCTAGCCTCTACTAAAAATACAAAAATTAGCTGTGTGTGGTGGCAGATGCGTGTAATCTCAGCTACTCTGGAGGCTGAGGCAGGAGAATCACTTGAACCTGTGTGGCAGAGGTTGCAGTGAGCCAAGATTGTGCCACTGCATGCACTCCAGCATGGGCAACAGAGTGAGATTCCGTCTCCAAAAAAAAAAAAAAGTGTGTGTATATATATGTGTATATGTATGTGTGTGTATATATGTGTGTGTGTATATATGTGTATATATGTGTATATATATGTGTGTGTATATATATACACACATATACACACACACACGTACATACATACATTAAAAACTTTGAGTAGGTAATGCATACTCATGGTTCAAAAACAAAAACAAAAACAAAAACAAAATCAAAAAATTTCTCATCCATACTTCATTACCCTAGATTACCACCATGCAAAATTAAGCATCCTTATTAGCTTATTTATCGCTCTGGATTTTTAAAAAATCTAAGCAAATATGAATATGGATTATTTCCCTCCCTTTATAAGCAAAAGTTCCTTATTTTGAACTTTGCTTATTTTCTTAGAAACATATATTGTAGCTTTTTCATATAGTGTATAAAGAGCTGCTTCTTTTTGACAGCCGCATTCTAATTATGTACCATATTTTATTTAACTAGTCCCCTTTTGCTAAATACTTCCCACCCCAATTTTTTTACGTTATAAATAGCAAACTGTGTATGTGTCGTATCATATGTGTACCAGTATATCTATAGAATACTTTGTTCCTAGAGATGAAATTACTAGATTATTAATTTTCAAATTATTGGCAGCTCACTCTGCCTGGTATTTATACTCGATTACATTTCCAGCAGCAATGTACGGGAGTGTCAGTATCTTCAGAGTCTTGATGGCAGTCTTGTCAGATTTTCTGAGTTTTGCCCCCATGAGGTAAAAATAGATGTCATTTTATGTATATTTATTTTATTAGGAGTGAAACGGAATGTCTTTTTCTTGAACCATTTATATTTTCTTCTATGTGTACTGCCTTTTCCTAGTCCTTGTTCATTTGTTCCTCTTCTTTTGTTAGTCTTTTTCTAATTATTATCTGCGGGCATATGTGTGTGTGTACACATATAATATTAACATTTTGTGATATGAAATGGAAATATTTTTCTCCAGTTGGTCTTTTTGCTTCTGGTATTTTTTTCTAGGTGGAAGTTTTTTATTTTTTTTAACTTTTTATATGCGGTATAAATTTTAAGCAAACACACATTAAATAGCAGAATTAAGAAATGGGCCTTGGGAATAATGAGAAGGAATTGCTGTAGAGAACTAGATAGAACTTTATGGCAGTTTCAACAACAATATTTACCTATTCAGCTAATATGTATTGAACACTAAATTAGAGTTAAGAACTGTGCACAGAAGTGGAAGGGTGTGGTGAGAAGAATCAGATATAGTCCTTGCCCTTAGGTATTTTTAAGTTTACTGGGATGACAAACATTATCAAATAATTAAAAATATACTATAAAATTACAGTTGGGTAATCCTTCCATGCTATGAGACAGTACCATAGAGGGCTTTAATTTAAGGAAGTCATTGGAGATTACAGTGAGTTATGAAACATGCATATGAATTTATTGGCAAAGGGGGAAGAGAAGAGCCATCTAGGCAGAGGCAGTAGCTTGTTGCATGGGGAGGTACTGTATTTAAGAGACAGAGAACCCAGTGTGACAGGAGGGAGAGAAAGCAAGACGAAACTGGAGAGGTAATTGGGGGTCAGGCCATGAAGGTCATGATAGGGAGTTTTAAGAACTCCTATGTGAAGAGCAATGAGATGCCATGGAAGGATTTTAAATAGGGGAGTGACCTGATGGACAAGATTAGTTTAGATGTAGAGTGTGCAAGGATTAGAGTGGCAGAGTAGAAGCAGATGGACTAGTTAGCTAGAAGGCTATTGTAATAGTCCAGGAGAAGGAAGTATGGTAGCTTGCTATTGGTTTGGAGTAGAGAAGTGAAAGAGTTGGAAGAATATTCAATGATTGACTTAATATGGGAAGTGAGAGAAAAGGAGGTGTTAAGGATGACTCTCCTAGTTTTCTGGTTTATTTAATAAGGTAGAGAGTGATACTATACAGTGGGATATTGTCCTCTGGAAGACAACCAGGTTTGGTGAGATGATGATTTTTATTTTGGATATATAGAGTTTGAAGTCCCTTTAAGACAGATAAAATCAGATGTCAAGTCAGCAGTTGAATATATTGGTATGTAACTTAGAGATCAGGTTTGAGCTGCAGATGTGTAATTGGAAGATATCTGTATAGATAAGTGGTAATTTAAATCATTGGTAGGAATGAAATAGTCTGGGTTAAACAGGTAGAAAGAGGATAGTTGTGGGCCTAGAACTCAGTCTTGACAGACTTCAGCATTTAAGAGCATGAACCAGCAAAAGACAGAGAAGGAACAACCAGAGAAACTGGAGAAGAAAGCTAATAAAGGATGATGTTATGGTAGAGGAACAGCAGGAGTGGCAACAGTGTTGAATGCTGTTGACTTGTATAGGTGAAGGCAGATGAAGGCCCATTGGATTTGATGTCATGTGACCTTAGAGATAGTGACGACGGAGAAAGCCGGATTGAAGGCGACTGAGGAACAAGTAGATCAAACAGTAATTATGACTGTAGCCATGTAATTGGTGACTAGAACAGAAGATGCTAACTGACTGATACAGAATCAAGGCTAACTTCCTGATTTGGGTTCATCCTCACGTGATGAGGTCCAAATAGTAATACATGGAAACACAAATGCATGAATAAATCTATTGAGAGAGCCACATAAATGCTAAGTATCAAGATTTCAATACATCTTATGTGTATGTGTGTATTATATATAAAACTCCAATTTACAATGGAGATTGGTTGGAAGTTCTTCCTGAGAAGTAAAAGTTGGGTGGATGGGTGAGAATAACAGAAATGGATAGATGGATGGTGGTAACCAGGGAGATTGCCTTACAGGGCCTTTCGCATGGTGAAATCAGTGGACTTGCTGCGCTGTAGGGGGTTGTGGGGATTGGGAACTTGAGAAAATGACTAGCAGGTCCAGCAAAGGGGAGAAAATGTGGAGAGGCCCTAAAAGTTTGTAGTAACACCTTAAATGTCTAAGGTGATGGTCCAGTAGACTCCCTGGTTCTGGGTTGAAGTGGTTGGTTCAGAAATGAATGTTTAAAGAATGCCAGTAGTTTGAAGAAGAAATAAGTTAGCTTTAAAAGGCAGGTATCATAAAACTAGTAGATAAAGAGACATGTAAAAGCCAGATATTTAGATATTGTCTGTCATCTGTATAACCCAGTGTTAAAATGAAACATTTTCTTTGGATTTCTGTACACAATTTACTGAGAGAATTGAAATTCATATGAATTATCTAGGGTCCCAAGCAAATTGAATACTAATGATAAACAAATGTGCAGTTAACTTGTGGCTTTACTTTGAACCTTTGAAACATAAAAAGCCCTCTTCTGTCCAGACATCTCTTTGTCTTTCATTTATCACCTGGTGAATATTGTTTGTTTCCATTGGCCAGGGCAAATGAAATCAGGACATTAGCAGAGAGATTTGAAGTTGCTTTGTTTTCTTTCTCCATAAATGTTTTGAGTTTTCTGAGGCAAAAATTGTGCCTGACAAGTTGCTACAAATCTAAACGTCAATGTGATTGGGAGGATGCCCTCTGGAAACACTTGCCTTGGCGGCATTTTCGGACCGATGCTATCAAGTGTTTTATCATGAGAGGTAATCTTTGCACTTTCCTGTATGTAGACTGGTGATGTACATCGAGAGAGACAGCAGAAAGACCACTCCAGGCAAGGAGCAGCAAAGTGGCAATGAATACCTGTCCAAATGTCTGGATCTTCTCATCCGTCACATCGTGCAGGAGCTGCCACGAATCCTGGGTAAATTGGAGTCTCGTCCTCAGGCCCCGTTCCTGCTTACCTTTCTAAGACTTGGCTTTTAGGCATCAGTTCTTTTTTATTCTTACTTGTCTGTTCTTGAAGGGCAAATGCAAAGACAATTTTTCACGAATATGTAGTTTCAAGATTTAAATTTCCTTTATCTATTTCTGTAATTATTTTGCATCAATGACGTGATGAGGCATGATGAGACAATGTCACATTAAGATGTGATCTGAGGGAAACTGGTGATTTTAGAAAATATACAAAAGAAAAGTGGTTTAATCCTTAAAATTGGACTTATGCTAGTATTTGGGGGTAACTTTTCTTTTTTGCCTAAATCAGAGGAAAAGAATTGTCTCTTGAAATTAGAGCACGAATTTATTTATTGTTAAAAAAAAAAACTTCAAAAATGCTTAGATTTTATTTTTTTCCCTTGCTGAAACAAGATTTTCTTTTATTTGTACAAGTTTATTGGGTATATGAGAAATTTTGTTATATGTATAAAATGCATAGTGATCATGCCAGGGTATTTAGGGTGTTGATCACCCACCTACAATACATTTTTGTTAACTATAGTCACTTTGCTCTGCTATCAAACATTGAATTTATTTCTTCTATTTTACTGTATGTTCATACCCTTTCACCCACTTTTCTTCCTCATCCCTCCACACCCACTCACCCTTCTCAACCTGTATTATTTATCTTTTCATTTTCTACTGCCATATAATCATTTTTTAACTCCCACAATAAGTGAGAATAAAAATGCATGGATTTTAATTTTAAATATTAAAATGTAATGTTAAATAATTTTGATATTCGTTTAAAGTTTAAAGTTTGAAACTTTCTTTGGTGTGAAAAATTTATCTTAAGATAAATCATCTAATAATGACTGCAAAGGATGTTTATTACAGCTAAAGAAATACCTTATTTCATTGTTATTTGCAGAAATTAAAATAACCTAGGGAGCATGTACATGTAGCTTAAATCCCATTCCATGCTTTTCCAGCAGATGTAGCTATAAACCAGAAATGTTTAGAATGTTAAATTTGATCCAAGCTATTATAGTAGAGGGTACTTAGATTCAGGAATTCAGAATATTAAATCAGAGTAATGAAAATATCTTCAAGGCTGACTGACAGCAACTTTTTGCCCCTTACTGATACTTTAGGAGATTATTTTTGCCTGTTGATGACTGAAAATAGAGCCTCTCAAAATTTATTTCAGATTGTAAGCTTTTTTACCTCCAACCTGAAGGCTTTAATTTGGTCAGTTGGTAGCTAAATTCTTTATTACCGGACTTGTTCTGTTTTAGGATATGACAATAAGATTCTGATGTCCACAAAGCAAGTTTTATTTATTGTTAGATTTATCATCCAATGAGAAGTTTTGGGAATTTACCTCTTTTTACCTCCAACCTATTCTCTTTTTTAAAAGTTGTAAATCGTGTTCTGTAATTCGTTCACATTATTATTATTTATTTATTTATTTATTTATTTATTTTTTGGAGACGGAGTCTAGCTCTGTCACCAGGCTGGAGTGCAGTGGCGCCATCTCAGTTCACTGCAACCTCCGCCTCCCGGATTCAAGTGATTCTCCTGCCTCAGCCTCCCAAGTAGCTGGGACTACAGGCGTGCACCACCACGCCCAGCTAATTTTTGTATTTTTAGTATAGATGTGGTTTCACCATGTTGGCCAGGATGGTCTTGGTCTCCTGACCTTGTGATCCGCCCTCCTCGGCCTCCCAAAGTGCTGGGATTACAGGCATGAGCCACTGTGCTTGGCCCACTTATTATTTTAAATATTTTTTGTTGTTTGCAAAAGTAACGCATGCTCATGATTGAAATTTCAAAAATACAAAAAAAAAATTCTAAAACTGTTACTCTATTATAATTTATTAAATTTTATTTTTCATTTCCAAATGAGATGTTAAGTTTATTTATAGTGTCTTTGCAGAATATCACATTCTGTCCCCAGAGGCCATAAGTGTCTGCTGTAATTTCAGTACTTATGAATAAGTATATCTGCTTATTTTATTTGGAGATTAATTATCTTAGAAGTCCCATGGGTTTTCAAGCAATGACCAGCAATGACCTTGTTTCTAATAGAACAATTTCTAACAAATTTTTTTATTTACAATTCCATTGCACTGGCACATTGATGCCTGAAATTAGTAATTTTGTCATGGTAACCCACCTTGGATTATTTTGGCACAGTGTTTGTTTGGGGTAGGTATAGTTGTCTTGTGTTCTAAGTTTTGTGGTTTTTAACCTCCACGTGTGCTCCGTGCTGTGCTTCACAGGTGACATTCTTAACGCCTTGGCTAATGTTTCTGGACGTAAACACCCGTCAACAGTTCAAGTGAAACAGCTGAAGATGTGTCTCCCCCTGATGCCTATAGTGCTTCACCTTGTAACTTCACAGGTACTATCGTATTGAGGAGGAAAAGGATATAAATATGCCTCTTTTCTTTGTAAACTGGAGCTGAGAATCCTCAACTCAAAACATTTTCTTTTTTTAAATTGAGCTAAAATTGTACATATCTTCCAGAATTTAATCTGTAGAAACTCTCATCGCACAGGTATTTCGACCTCAAGTTGTGACAGAAGAGTTTCTTTTCAGCTACGGAACTATTCTTGTGAGTAACACTAAATTTTCCTTGTTTCTAATAAAATTGTGGCTGCCTCTACTGTTTGTGGAATTTGGTGTCAGAATGAGGTAATTTAAAAATCCTATTGGTATTTATTTGTCTCTAGGGAAGTGACCTTTTAATATTTTTATCTGTTGACTGTAATAAAATTTGACATTTGGAGAAAACACATTCTCTCCTGATAATGTAGTTTGTTCAGAGACAGCCCAAATAGGGTAAATATGCCCACAGAAACAGAAACACTTTTATAGATTTTGGTATTAAACGTCATGAAAAAAATATAATAAAACTGGTGAAAATGGAATGCTGGGAATATATTATCATTACTCTCTACTTCAGCTTATATTGTCCAATCATGTGCAGTGTCTCTTTTTTTTTTTTTTTTTTTTTTTTTGAGACAGAGTCTCACTCTGTTGCCCAGGCTGGAGTGCAGTGGTGCGATCTTGGCTCACTGCAACCTCCGCCTCCTGGGTTCAAGTGATTCTTCTGCCCCAGCCCCTACAGTGTCTCTTCTTATGATGGTATTTCTCTATGTTAAGCTCAGTTTAGCTTTTTCTTTAATTTTGAGGATACAAGTAGAAATGAAAAATCATTGTATTATTGTTCACTTCTGTTTTTGCTCACAAAAATTGTCTTTTTGTTTAGCTCGTGAATTATGTTATCTTTTTCCCTTGCCAGTAGTAGTTACAGTATATATGGTTGATAAAATGAGTGAGTCATACAGAGGGAAAACTAAAACATTTGTCACAGAGCTTTTCCAGTCTGACTTTGATATTAATAATAAGCTGAACAGAGATTTTCAAAATGCCATAGAGGTAACTAGTTAAAATGAGGTCAGCATCTCAATTTTATTGTTAGTTTGGAATTTTATTTTAAAAAAGAGTGCCACACACGAGTGAGAATATGGTTTTCTAGAAAGTTCATTATAGGGTGAAGTATGATGTTTATAAATATAAATGTTGAGTGGCGGTTGCTGATTTTTAGGAAACAATGCAGTAAAGGTCCTTTTGAGCTCAATTTCAAATTTTTATCATTTGAGTACTTTGAATCTTGAATTCCAGAAAGTCTATAATTTTGTTACCACATTTATGAATTTGCAAATTATGAGAATTTTTATTTACCACCATCTGTTTACCTGTTTTTAAGTGTAACATAGGCATCATTTTAGCATGACTATGATTTTTTCATTTACAATTCCATTGCACTGGCACATTGATGCCTGAAATTAGTAATTTTGTCATGGTAACCCACCTTGGATTATTTTGGCACAGTGTTTGTTTGGGATAGGTATAGTTGTCTTGTGTTCTTTCTTCCTCTCTCTTTTTTTTTTATGTGTAGTATTTTCTTCTGCCTACATTAACTGAGTATGCTTTAGGTTTTTAAGGAACTACCAAGATTTTCCAACAGAAAAGTCTTTTTTTTTTTTTTTTTTTTGAGACGGAGTCTCGCTCTGTTGCCCAGGCTGGAGTGCAGTGGCACTATCTCGGCTCACTGCAAGCTCTGCCTCCCGGGTTTATGCCATTCTCCTGCCTCAGCCTCCCGAGTAGCTGGGACTACAGGCGCCCGCCACCTCGCCCGGCTAATTTTTTTGTATTTTTAGTAGAGACGGGGTTTCATTGTGTTAGCCAGGATGGTCTCGATCTCCTGACCTCGTGATCCGCCCGTCTCGGCCTCCCAAAGTGCTGGGATTACAGGCTTGAGCCACCGCGCCCGGCCAACAGAAAAGTCTTTATGGACTTTCAGAAATTCTATGTATACTGGGGAGAACTCATCTGCTCCTTGTAATTCTGTGTTCAGAGACAAGGGAGGAGGCCACACTGAGTGTGTCCATAAAGACTTTTCTATGGGTATTCTGTTGGGTCTTTTCAATACAGGCACTTTTAGGAAATGGAAAATAACTTGGCTGGTTTAGAGATCATGAAGATATTAAAAAAATTTAGCAGTTTTTTCTTGATAGTCTCACCCAATTAGAGGAAGTTTAGGGAAATAAAATGAAAGTCTTTTGCCTCTCTTCAGTCTATTTTCCTAGTTTGAATCATGGCCAGTCCCAGAATTCTTGAATTATTTTTCTTATTGCGTTCGTTGGTTGGCCTTAACTGTGTGGTCACCTTTTGTATACTCAGTGTTGATGGCACTGATGGAATACTAGTAAAGGGAGAGAATTACTGACTAAAATTCAGGACCTGGTTTTAGTTATCCATATAGTTCTTGTGCACGTTATTGTGAACTGTTGAGAATTGAATGTTGCTTCTGTGAATTAATTCATAATTTTTCCAGAAGATAGCAAAAATGTTACTCGAGTTACAGTGCCTTACTGATGCTATAAGGTCTAGTCTACTCATCCAACATTCTTCTACAGACCCTTAGAAATTTACATTGCAAATTAGCATATTAAAACCCTTTGAGTTTTCTACTTTAAAATAATTTTTAAATTTTTTTTAGGCAAAGCCTTTCTAAACTATTTGAGAGGGCTTTTTAATTTTATTTTATTTTATTTTTCGTGATAGTGGTGGGGATGCACATTTATGAACGTTCTGCAGCCCAGTCCACAGAACGATTATGTGAAATTGTCCAGAGCATAGTGCTTCTTTGGTTCTGGTGACATAGGGAAGTAGTCCATTCATATTTACATACTTAGCATTGTGGAATTTTTTTTTTTTGTTTTTTCACATTTTTTCTTTTTTTGAGACAGGGTCTTTCTCTGTCTCAGGCTGAGTGCAGTGGCACAATCAGGCTCACTGCAACCTCTGCCTCCCAGGCTCAAGCAATCCTCCCTCCTCAGCCTCAGATGTAGCTGGAACTACAGGTGTGTGCCACCATGCCTGGTTAATTTTTAAAAATTTTTTGAAGAGATGAGGTTTCACCATCTTGCCTGAGCTGGTGTTGAACTCCTGGACTCAAGTGATCCACCCACCTTGGCCTCCCAAAGTGCTGGGATTATAGGCATGAGCCACCTCTCCCAGCATTGTGTTTTGAAAGACTTACTGGTACATCTGGAGATAAATATTATTTTCAGTATTTCTCAAAATGTATCTCATGGAGTAGCTATTGTCTTATGGCAGGGATATTGTCCTTTTATATTTTAAAGATATGACTTAATTGAGGTATTCAAGCTTAGTCCACTTTTAGAAGCTGTATCCAGTGGCAGCAAGCCAAGAACTTTGTGGCTTCCCCTCTTCAGGAGCTGCTGACCTGCCTTGGGGTGGGTGTGGAGATAGCAGCCAGGGTTGGTGTGATCTCTATGCATTAGAGGGGTTCTTAAGGAGCAGACTGGAGAAGGGGGTATTGGAACTGTGCTTCTCATTGACTTCAGTATTATAATGACACCAGGGCATGGTTTGCATATTTGACCTACAGACTTTTTTTTTTTTGGTACAAAAATTCAGGATACTTCTTATATATGGAGGCATAAATACAAGAATTGCTTTTTTGTACATTTTTTCCCCCATGGAAAATGAAGTTTTGGTCGTCTTACATTTTAAAGAGACTAGCATTTGGAAACAATTCAGCAGAGTAATTTTAAACTATTATCAAGCTTTGAAAGACTCCTGGAAAAAGAGAACTACCCAGCTGATAATTGCTATTTTCACTTCTTATTGGCAGAAGCAGCCTGTCGTCTTATTCAGCTCCCTCTCCAGGTTTCAGCAGTCTAGTCTCTGGGGAAGTTCTGTGGTGAATACCATGCTTCTTTTGGGCCTCCATTGAATTGGGCTGGGAAGCAGGAAGTAGTAGATTAAGGAAATATTTTCAAGAGCTAATGATGTGTATTAACCTAACATTCACTGTATTTCTTATGTCCTTTTGAAAATGCATTTGATTAATGAGCAGAGGAAGCAGACTTTGTTGTGTTTAAGTTCTGGCCTCATTAGTTTATAAAAGTATGATGGCTTGTGGTGGTTATAATTTTCTGCAAAAAATAACTGAAAGATTATACTTACTGCCCTCTGTAGATTTTTATGTAAAGGAATGCTGATTTATTGATGGATATTGGCTTCAGCTGCAGAAAAGCCAGAGATAGTGCACTCTTGTATTTTTGACAATATGATAGTATATATTTACTTATTTGTTGCCACCTAGATATTCTTGTCTTTTTTTCTTTTAACATATCATGAATTTGTATCCCAGTTTGCTGTAGGAGCTTTTTTGCAGCCCCTGTTGGGGATCACTGAATGATACTGAGAGCACTGGCACATATTGCTCCACACCCTCTAGCCAGCGGACCTAGCTCAGGATGGGTGGTCTTTTTTGCGCCCTTGCTGAAACTCCCATCTTTTGAAGTTTGCGCCATGAAAAGATATTGTGTCACCCCCTGTGTTGTGGTCATCTGCAGATTTCTGGGTCATTGGCTCTCGTTCCTCAGCGTTCCTTTAGCACTTGGCTCACCATGAGCCTTTCCTTGCCACTCCTGCATTATTGGTGGGGAATTTGATATCCCTCTGGAGGATCCTTCCAGTGCCTCAGCCTTGCGGCTCCCTGGCTGCTTCTCTCCTCAAGACCTTGTCTGTCTTCCCATCAGCTGCCTGCTCCCATGGTCAAACACTTGACCTTACTGTCAGCATCCCCTTGTTGGTCCACCACCCGTGATTTTCAGCTCATTTCCTCTCCTCCCCAACTCCCACAGCCCTTCAGCTTCTTTGAGACTTAATTGTTCCTACCTGCTTTCCACTCACCATCCTGCCCTGCCAGGGCTCTGCTTTTTCACTTTCTCTTTATTCCACCTAGAGTGCCTGGTCCAGCATTAGTCACAATCTTTTTTTTTTTTTTTTTTTTTTTTTTTTGAGACAGAGTCTACCTCTGTCTCCCAGGCTGGTGCTGTGGAGTGATCTTGGCTGACTGCAACCTCTGTTTTGTGGGTTCCAGCAATTCTCAATCCTCAGCCTCCCAAGTAGCTGGGATTACAGGCGTGCGCCACCACTCATGGCTGATTTTTGTATTTTTTGTAGAGATGGGGTTTCACCCTGTTGGCCAGGCTGGTCTTGAGCTCCTGA